AAACCCTGTTTTGTTTTCTTAGTAACTTAGCCACAGCCCCAGTATTGAAAAATCTTAATATCGCAAAGCCTTAATTTTGATCTTAAAGACCTAATATTGTAAAACCCTAGTATTACAGAGTCCAATCCCCAATTATGTGAAAACAACACTGTTTCTCTCACAAGGGATACACATTTAGGCAAACGCCACCTGGTTGGTCAACACTAGGGGATCTGCCAACAGGGCTGGCCCAACCAAATCAGAACTTTTACATACTGTGGAGAGGGATAAAGTTCCTGTGGTGTACATAAAGAATTTACTGGAGAAGACAGTCTGAGTTATTCCTGCTTCAGGTAAAGGCAAACCCAGTAGTGAGATTACTTTTGCTCAGGGACCTGGGTGTACTTGGTGGGTAAAGTGGGAAGATGGGGAAGTCCAGTGTGTACCTCAAGGGGATTTATTTTTGGGTGAAAACAGCCAGTGATCTCGATTATATGCTGTTGCCTGCTATATAACACTTCTATAGCCCATCAACTAAATGCCCATCTCTGCCACTCTGGGCTTTGAAAAGAAAATTTGTGCTGTCATGATCATAGCAGAGAATAAACTCATGGGAAAATCAGTTTCCCAGTACTGTCCTCGGGACACCATCTACTGAACCTGACTTCGATCATCACCCAAACAAAGAATGAACTTTGAAACCAGACGAGCTCAGCTGTGTCGTAAGCAGGCAACAGTCCAACACGACACACCATTTCTCCTGCCCTGAAAGATTGTTACAGCAGATGAAGCCCGGCATCATGGACTGAATGAACTCAGCGAACTTTATAGGGATGGTCCATGGACTAAGCAATGACCTGTGTGTGCGTGGAGAGAGGGAGAGAGAGAGAGAGAAAGCGAAAATGTCGTGGTTTAAACCCTGTCAGGTAACTCGTTAACTCACCCCCCCCCCCTTTCTTTCCCTCCCCCTACTCCCGGAGGGACGGAGAGGAGAATCGAAAAGAATGCAACTCCCATGGGTTGAGATAAGAACAGTTTAGTAACTAAGGTATAACAGAGATCACTACTGCTACCACCAATGATAATAATGCTAAAGGAAATAACAAGGGAAGAGAATACAACACCTCAGCACCAGCTGACCGATAACTCGCCCCCCTCAGCCCGACCAAGCACCGACCCATACCTCCTCCAACCCTGCAGTCTCCCAGCCCTTCCGGCTAACTCCCAGTTACATCCTGGGCATGACATGCTGTGGTATGGAATACCTCTTCGGTCAGTTTGGGTCAGGTGTCCTGTCTCTGCTTCCTCCTGGCTTCCCCTCCCCCCCTGGCAGAGCATGAGGCTCATAAAGTCCTTGGCCAAACCAAAACATCACTATCAGCTCTGTTCCCAGGCCTAAAGTCAAAACACAGCACTGCATCAGCTACCAAGAAGGGGAAAAATGACTGCTACTGCTGAACCTAGGACATTATCCACCCCTTATTCCATACCATTCACGTCATGCTCAGATCCCACATTTTCAATATACCATCACTCTTATCTAAGTGCATAGACCAGTAGCTATAAAGCTGCTGCGTCCATCTGGTCCATGATGTCAGGCTCCATCTCTTGTAACAGTCTTCCAGAGCAGGAGAGACTGTGTGCAGTGTTCACACTCGTGAATAACCTGGGCAATAGTGTCCATTGCTAAGTCCACCCCTTGATCATAAGTCCATCTCTATGTTGCATCTCTGCTCTGATGGCCTGAAGTGCCATGGGCCCACCAGGCTTAAAATAATTCACTGTCCCCTTTAGCAGTTTCTGCAGCTTGCTGCTGGGGACTTCATACAGCTGCCTTCCATCTCTGATGCTTCCAAAGCACTGGAGGGGCCCAATGGACTAGATACTTGCCCATGCTGTCCCACACACCCTGCCACTCATGACTGTCCAGCCTTGGGGAAAATCTCTTGGTCTCCCTATATTGTTGTCTAACCCCAGACAAGACCCAAACCTGACTCTGCTTAACTTTTGAGATCAGACAAAATGGTTGTGGGTAGAACACAGCCTGTGTGTGTGCCAACATGCTGATCCCCATCACAATCAGCAGGCAGGTCCCAAGGGTACCCAAAGGCCATTCAAAACCTTCAGAACTCTCAAACGATGCTCCTGTACTTGTCACTGGGGCTGGTGTAGCTGCTGTGCTTGCCAGCTCTCCCACCACCAGCTTCTCTTTTCCTGAGTCCAGCTCTTCCTCCTCTGCCTTGCTGGGAAATGCTGCGTGGTCTCCTGCGTCCTCCTGGGTCTCGGCAGGCGGCTTCCGGGGAATGCTCTCGGCCGTCGCGGGGCTCGGCTCGGCCGCGGGGCTCGGCTCCTCCGCGGGGCTCGGCTCCTCCGCCGCCTTCTCCCGCTGCTCGGCAGCCGCCCCCTTCCTCTCCTCGACCGCCCCGACCTCCTCCACCGGCAGCCGTCCCTTCGCGGCCTCCGGCCCCGCTCCCGCCGCCGCTTGGTCCCCGGGGCCGCTCTCCCGGGCCGCTTCAGCAGCCGCCGGCTCCCGGGACCGCTCCCCCTCAGTTCCCCGCAGCCTCACGAAGATGGAGAGTAGGGTGAGGGCCAGGACGGTGAAGAGCAGCCGGACGGCCAGGTACAAGTCCACGGCCACGTCCGTCCCGCCCTGCTGCTGGAGCCCCCCCGTATTACAAGTCATTGCCATAAAGCACAGTGAGAGAAGAACCTTAGCCCAAGCCCCACACTTGATAAACACTACCACAGCAAATACCGGCTCTACGTAAGTTACAACGGTCTGAAGCTGTGAGATCAAGAAGAACAACTCTGATACCCAATAAATCAGCATTGTGACGAATGACTATTAATCCAGTCAAATCTGTCGTTATCTCAACCCTTCGTGCCCCACGTTGGGCGCCAAAAAGAACTGTCGTGGTTTAAACCCAGTCAGGTAACTCGTTAACTCACACCCCCCCCCCTTTCTTTCCCTCCCCCTACTCCCGGAGGGACAGAGAGGAGAATCGAAAAGAATGCAACTCCCATGGGTTGAGATAAGAACAGTTTAGTAACTAAGGTATAACACAGATCACTACTGCTACCACCAATGATAATAATGCTAAAGGAAATAACAAGGGAAGAGAATACAACACCTCAGCACCAGCTGACCGATAACTCGCCCCCCTCAGCCCGACCAAGCACCGACCCATACCTCCTCCAACCCTGCAGTCTCCCAGCCCTTCCAGCTAACTCCCAGTTACATCCTGGGCATGACGTGCTGTGGTATGGAATACCTCTTTGGTCAGTTTGGGTCAGGTGTCCTGTCTCTGCTTCCTCCTGGCTTCCCCCTCCCCCCTGGCAGAGCATGAGGCTCACAAAGTCCTTGGCCAAACCAAAACATCACTATCAGCTCTGTTCCCAGGCCGAAAGTCAAAACACAGCACTGCATCAGCTACCAAGAAGGGGAAAAATGACTGCTACTGCTGAACCCAGGACAGAAAAGCAGTGGTATATTGAAATGACCAATTTGAGCATGTCATGAGTGGTTTGGAATAGGGGGTGGATGCTGTCCTGGTTTCAGCTGTAACAGTTATTTTTCTCCTTCCTAGTAGCTGGTACAGTGCTCTGTTTCAGCTTTAGTCTGAGAAGAATGCTGACACCACACCGGCATTTCAGTTGTTGCTAAGTAATGCTTACCCCAATCAAGGACTTCCTGGGCTCTCATGCTCTGCAGTGATAAGGGGCACGGGAAGCTGGGAGGGAGCAGAGACAAGACACCTGACCCAAACTAGCCAGAGGGGTATTCCATACCACAGCATGTCATGCCCAGAATATAAACTGACTGATTGATAATAGGGGATGGATCTGATGGCAAAGCAACAGTACTTAAACTTTCATCTGGGTGTGGAAATGAGTCAGATAAAAATGGCAGGTCAGATCGCACTGAGGAAGAGGTTAGTCTCTGAACACCGTCTTAATGTTGATACTACTGCGGGATTTTTTGATCCGTAACACTCAAAGTTACAAAGGAGTGCTAGAGGAATGCGAAACCTTGCCTGTTAATTCCAAAAGCTTAGACCAGTGATCCAAGAATCCCCTTTTAGTTAACTGAGAAATTGAGTGCAATTTATATTGTGTGTTTTCTAATGCTTCTTCATAGCAGCTCAAGGAAAACAAACCTATAGTCTGGCTTCTTGGAGGTGGTTGAGCTCTAAGTGATTCTGCCTCATGAGTTTGCAGGATGCTTGAAGAAAGACTTTTGTCCTAAAATACTTTTTAAATGCCGCGTGTAATTGTTAAATATAAAGGACAGATGGAGGGCCATGAAGCGGGTCTGTGATTTGTGACATAGAATCATAGAATAGTTAGGGTTGGAAAGGACCTTAAGATCATGACAGCTGATTTCCTGTGCTAAATAGTCTTGAGCTGTTTCACTATGTTTTGGTCAATGTGGAGCTTGGGACCACTCGTAAAGTGGTCTTTGGGTCACTTTGCCCTTGTGACCACTTTTGTCCAAATGTTACTTCCTTCTTGTGTGTCAAAACCTGGATTTTAGTTTGTCTTAGCTGCTCTAAAGCTGGGTTATTTTAAAGCCTGTTTTGTACATGACAAAAACAATGGATCTTTTTATAGAGTCATAACAGAATACAGTGTTAAGGAGAGCTTCAGCTTCCAGTTGTGTAGGCATAAAGACTATGCCTACACAAGGGAAGCTAAAACATTGTGTACATTGACTTCAAAATCTGTTCAGTTGTTTCACTGGAGTGTTGTGTGGTTTTAGTGTGTTGGGTTATTTTAAAATAGTTTTGAGCTAGAACATTAAGGGGAAAAAAGTGCCACCCACAAAATAACTGCAAAACTGGGGCAATGAAGTCCAAACAGATTCAATGTGTTTCTGATCAAGCAACTTTCTTTGTATTGAGTCATCTGGTGGTGTTGGGACAGTGGAGATAGAATAGCTCTCAAATAGAGAGATGTGAGTCTTTACTTGAACGCATTAAACTCATGAGAGTTTTTGATACAATTTCTGCTTTTGATCTTAGGGCCTTTCAGTTATCTCGATGATGTCCCATTTAAGATAGGAGACAAATTCAAAGCCCCAGCAAAGGTTGGATTACCCATTGGTTTCTGCCTGCCCGATTTGTCTCAGCTTGTCAGAGAAGCCCGGGTAAGTGATATATTGCCTTTCTGCTCCTTTCCCCCTCAACCCTGGCACCCAACATATGCTGCTGTAAATTGCAAGAGGAATCATAGAATAGTTAGGGTTGGAAAGGACTTTAAGATCATCTAGTTCCAACCCCGCTGCCATGGGCAGGGATACCTCACGCTAAACCATGTCACCCAAGGTTCCATCCAATCTGGCCTTGAACACCACCAGGGATGGAGCATTTACCACTTCTTTGGGTAACCTGTTCCAATGCCTCACCACCCTCACAGTAAAGAACATCTTCCTTATGTCTAATCTAAACTTCCCTGGTTTAAGTTTGAACCTATTACCCCTTGTCCTATCACTACAGTCCTTAACGAAGAGTCTCTCTCCAGCATCCTTGTGGGCCCTGTTCAGATATTGGAAGGCTGCTATGAGGTCTCCACACAGCCTTCTCTTCTCCAGGCTGAACAGCCCCAACTTTCTCAACCTATCTTCATACGGGAGATACTCCAGTCCCCTGATCATCCTCGTGGCCCTCCTCTGGACATGCTCCAACAGCTCCATGTCCTTTTTATGTTGAGGACACCAGATGTGCAGACAAGTACTCCAAGTGAGGTCTCACAAGAGCAGAGAAGAGGGGCAGGATCACATCCTTTGACCTGGTGGTCACCCTCCTTTTGATGCAGCCCAGGATACAGTTGGCTTTCTGGGCTGCAAGCGTGCACTGCTGGCTCATGTTCATTTTCTCATCAACCAACACCCACAAGTCCTTCTCTGCAGGACTGCTCTGAATCACATCTCTGCCCAACCTGTAGCTGTGCCTGGGATTGCCCCCACCCAGGTGTAGGACCTTGCACTTGGCTTGGTTAAACTTCATGAAGTTGGCATCTGCCCACCTCACAAGCGTGTCATGGTCCCTCTGGATGGCATCCCTTCTCTCCAGCGTGTCAGCCGAACCACACAGCTTGGTTTCTTTGGCAAACTTGCTAAGGGTGCATTCTATCCCACTGTCCATGTAGCCAACAATGCTGTTGAACAAGATTGGTCCCAGCACTGACCTTGAGAGACACCACTTGTTACTGGTCTCCAGCAGGACATTAAACCATTGACCACAGCTCTTTGCGTGAGGCCATCCAGCCAATTCTTTATCCACCAAGTGGTCCAACCATCAAATTTATGTCTCTTCAATTTAGAGGCAATGATACTGTGCGGGACAGTGTCGAACACATTGCACAAGTCCAGGAAGATGATGTGAATTGCTTTGCCCCTATCCATCAGTTCTGTAGCCCCATCATAGAAGGCCACCAAATTGGTCAGACAGGACCTTCCCCTTCATGAAGCCATGTTGGCTGTCCAAAGCACCTTGTTGTTTTTCATGTGCCTTAGCATGCTTTCCAGTAGAATCTGCTCCAAGATTTTGCCAGTCACAAAGGTGAGACTGACTAGTCTCTAGTTCCCTGGGTCTTCCATTTTAACCTTCTTGAAAATGAGTGTTATATTTTCCTCTTTACAGTTGTTGGGAACTTCACCTGACTGCCATGATTTTTCAAATATGATGGACAGTGGCTTAGCAACTTCATTCACCAGCTCCTTCAAGAGCTGTGGATGGATTTCATCAGGTCCCATGGACTTGTGCACATTCAGATTTTTAAGATGGTCTCAAACCAGTTCCTCTCCTACAGTGGGCCTAAGGTCTTCATTCCCACAGTCCCTGCATCTGCCTTCCAAGTCTTGAGTGGTGTGGTCAGAGCATTTGCCAGTGAGGACTGAGGCAAAGAAGCCATTAAGAACCTCAGTCTTCTCCAAATCCCGGGTAGCCAATTCTCCTGATAGCTTCTGGAGATGGCCCACATTGTCCCTAGTCTGTCTTTTGTTTGCAGTGTACCTACAGAATCCCTTCCAGTTATCTTTCACATCTCTAGCCAAGTTTAATTCTAACTGGGCCTTAGCTTTCCTAACCTGGTCCCTAGCTTCCTGGACAACATCACTGTATTCTTCCCAGGACACCTGTCCTCACTTCCACCATTTAAAAGCTTTTTTTTTCCCCTCTAAAGTTTCCTCAGGAGCTCCTTATCCATCCAAGGAGGTCTCCTGGCCCTCTTGCCGCGTTTCCTTCTAGTCGGGATGCAACACTCCTGAGCTTGTAGCAGGTGATCCTTGAATATCAGACAGCAGTCTTGAGCCTCCCTGCCCTCTAAGGCTTTATCCCATGGAACCTTGCTAAGAAGGTTCCCGAAGAGGCCAAAGACTGCTCTCTTGAAGTCCATGGCAGTGAGCTTGCTGCATGCCCTTCTCATTGTTCTGATGATCTTGAACTCGACCATCTCATGATTGCTACAGCCAAGGTTTCCCTGGAGCATCACATTCCCAAACAGCCCCTCCCTGTTGGCTAGCACAGGGTCAAGCATGGCACCTCTCCTTGTTGGCTTCTCTGTTACTTGCAGGAGGAAGTTGTCTTCCACACAATCAAGGAAACTCCTGGATTCCTTGTACTGGGTCATACTGTCCCTCCAACAGATATCAGGATGGTTGAAGTCCCCCCTGAGGGCAAGGGCCTGTGAGTGTGAGGCTGCTCTTATCTGTCTATAGAGCGCTTTATCCACAGAGTCCTCCTGATCCGGAGGTCTGTAACAGATCCCTACAGTTATTTCCCCTATCGCTGTTCTCCCTTTCACACTGACTCACAAACTCTCTGTTGACTGAACTCTTGTCCCCAGAGTTCCATACTCTCTAGCCTATCACTGACATAGATAGCTACTCCCCCTCCCCATCTGCCTTTCCTGTCTTTTCTAAAGAGACTATAACCTTCCACTCCAACACTCCAATCATCGGAGCCATCCCACCATGTTTCTGTGATGCCAATGATATCATATCCCTGTAGCCATGCATATATCTCTAATTCCTCTGTTTTCTTCCCTATACTACGGGCATTTGTATAGAGCCATCTTAGCCAAGTTCCAAATAAAGCTGACTCATGGGCTGGAGCAGCTGAAATGTCTCTTCATTGCTCCAAGCATTTATAGGTTCTGGCAAGTGACTGGGAGTGTTGGGATGAATCAATGCTCCCCTTCCCCAGCACATCTAGTTTAAAGCTGTCTTGACCAGCCTGGAAAGTCTCCTACCAAAGCAGTTCTTCCCCTTCTTTGCTGACCAGCTCCACTAGCCTCCAGTGGACCTCGCCTCCCAAATTGAGTCCCAGTAGTAGTAGTCACAGTAGTCGCAATTTGCACAAGTGTTCAAATGTTAGTCTTATTGGTCCTATTGTGTCATTTCATATGCAAGGCAGTAGTTGCAGAAGGTCTATTAGAACGTATAGAAAGATAATAAATGATAAGCTGTGCAAAAAAGTTTCTACTTGATAACACTTTTAAAAAGCCTAATAGCACTTATTTTAGTGGATCTTCAAAAAATGGTGGGTTTTTTTTGTGTAATAGGTCTAAATGTTACCCTGACTGAATTTAAGTAGCATTTTATGTCAAAAACAGTAAGAAATGATACACCTATGTTATCGCATACTTGCAGAATCTTGTTTGAGGGTAACAAGTATTTTTATGACCATATTTTATGTGTTCTTACAATAGTGGGATGAAGAAATAAATTTCCAGTTCTTGGATTCTGTGCAATTATGAGTGGGAATTCTTTTCCAACTGTAGGGCAAACAAGCTACAGCTTGGTACAGATGACTTCCAGGTCTTTGAGGAGCTTTTCTCTGTTACCATAAACTCTTGGTATCTTAAAATCAATTGCTGTAGGATAAATGTTGAAAATCCAATCTCCAAATGCAAGTTGTAATACAGGAAATGTAATTGAGCTTTTTTATCATTTGGATAAATGCTTTTCTTTGGTCAATCCAAACTAGTGATTGTTTTCATTTCAGCTGTGACAGATTGCTGTAGATGGTTCTACTTTGCCACACAGCCCCCTTTTTTTTTGGCCCTGAAACTCATCCACTGGAGAGAGCTTAATATCTCAGTTATCCTACATCACAGCTTTTTAATTATAACCATTAAATCACTACCTGATTTTCCTAATACAAATATTTCCACCCAGTTAAACTGGTGTGGGAGAGCTAAAGGAGACTCTAATGTCATATTGCTGTCTTCATTGTGTTATGTGTCTGTCCTGGTTTCTGCTGGGATAGAGTATTATTCTTCCTAGTAGCTGGTGCAGTGCTGTAGTTTTGGCTTTAGTCTGGAAACAATGCTGATACCACACCCATGTTTTAGTTGTTGCTAACTACCCCTTACTCTAATCAAGGTCTCAGTCTCTCATGCTCTGACAGCGAGGAGGGGCACAAGAAATCAGGACGAAGCAGAGACAGGACACCTGAACCAAACTAGCCAAAGGGGTATTCCACACCACAGAACATCATGGCCAGTATATATACAGGGGGGAGTTACCCAGAAGGGATGGATCTCTACTGGAGTTTGGTCCAAGGGCTATTGCATGAACAATCATTTATTTTGTTCAAAGGCTTGTTGTTCTGTAAGCGGCGAGGAGAAGCAGACAGGCCAACCCAATATGGGTGATAAGCAACTTCTACTTTATTTGTGACACAGTTCACACATATATAGGAGTGGTATTCAGCCACTCCTTCTTGGCACAACAGTATTGGTGAGCCCCCACAGCTTCCTCCACATTCTCCTCCCAGGTCCGGTCTCCGGCCACCTGTGGGGGCCACCCCCTGCCTTGCTTGCACAGTCCTCCAGAACTCTATGGTTCTGCTCTTAGAGTCATTCTGCAACAATTCCCCCCTTTTTCTTTGTGCAAGCAAGGCATTATGGGTTATTCTGTTCACCTGTTTTATCACACAACTATAAACAAGTCTAATAGCTACGATGATTAACCTAACAATGATACATAAGTGCAATACTTCAAACAACAGTGTTTGACTCAACCTGTAATGCCCCATGAAGACAACCATCTAGTTATTCTTAGGATATTGCTCATTTACTATTGCTGGGTAAGCTGAGCCAGGGTTCTCAGCTGTGCATGCATCAAATTAGCATAATCAGAGA